CCTTTCTAGCATAAATCTCTTACCCCTGCTCCTGAAAACTCACACCAGTCTAGCCCACAGATATCCCTCTTCCTCCTCCTCCTCCTTCTTTTCTCTCTGTTAAGCCTGGAGGAACTTCTGCTCCACCAGGAGTAAACCCCCTTCTCTCGGTTCCTTCCGCAACCAGAGATCTCCATGATCCTCAGTGCTCCCTACCACACATGTCTCCTCTTTCATTCCCTCACTGATTCACTGGAGGAGGTAAGATAGAGGAGGGTCTTACATCTTGTATTTTTGTTTGCGAGTGGCCATCCTCTCTGCCTCCCAGGGTACACACTTTTATGTTAATCACTCCATTCTCTTAACACAGATACATTTATTAGATACATCACAAAATCAAGTACTTTATTAGTTTCCTAATGAGTACATACATTCATCTTGTCTCCCTAGCTATTAGCTCCCTTAGGACACATGACTTCCCTCCTATCTATTAAGGGGCTTCTAATGATATTCCCCGTTAAGACACTAATCAGGATGTGGAGTGAAGTTGTCAGTGGTTATGGAACAGAGCAGCGATAACGGCCTAACGGGCATCAAACCCCATGATTTTGGCCAAGATAAGATGCTCTGAGCCAAACAACTTACCAAAAACTGACTTTAAGAAAGTAAAAAAAAGTGTAATAGTCCAAGTATTTGTTGATAGACTTATTGTTGACAGTAGTTTCTTGAACCTGTCTATGTGAATTATAGGGCCAAGGTTCTTTCTAAGATGAGAAAAAAAAAGAAAAATATCTAGCTTGTTTGAATTATTATCTCATTGATTATTCTCTTTTGGCATCTTGAAATACAGCCATAGACAAGGAGTATGTTTGGATTGCAAATTCCAAAACCCTTAACATGATGGCAAGGTAAAAGAGACTATCAGATTATCTTAAATTAAGATACTGTATTTATATGCCTCATATTAGAGAAATCTGTTTTGGTTACTGGCAAAATCTGGATATCATTAACTAATTCTGTATAAGTTATTTAATTTCTCTTCTCCTGACAAAATTAGGCTCATGTATGGAGATGGGGGTGGGTAAATAGAGAGGGTTTGGTTACCTCAAGAAAACAGGGCATACTTACAAGTGGGTTTTAGGTTACATTGAGTTTAGGTTAGGTGAATTTGTTGTTAACTATCAGACATAATATATTCTTTTTTCTAGTCTGTTCATCTTTTCAACAGAGTAACTATGATTACTAGATTTCCTGTATTCATATATATTTTAAATTATAAAAATGTGTAATGAATTAGACTGAATTTTTTAGCTGAAAAGAACATTAGGAAAAAGAAACTATGATGATAAATTAACAAAACTGTCATTACAAGTATTGGCAAATTCAGATGGCTCAATCTAACGTATTTTTATAATCCACATGCTTTCAGTTTTTCCTCTTACTGTTATAAAATTGAACTTCACAGAAGGTGAGTTTATGAAAGGTCAGTTGCTCTTCCATGCATCACACTGTCTTAGAGTAACTATAATGTGTCTATTCTGGGGAAATGAATTGTAAAATGGCAGAAAAACTATGTGAATATGTTTTAATTAACATCATCCCGTATTGCCAGATCTTCATGTAATTAAAATAACATGCTCATAACATCATAGCAGAATAAGAAGAGAGTGGATGGTAAAAAGAGTTACAGAGAAAGAAAGAGATCTAATAAATTCTGGGTTTGGGAAGAGGGATTGGGAAAGGTATATCTCTTGTGCTCTCTTATCTATCTTTTGCTATTTGCTATTGGGTTAGATTAAACCCCAAAAAATGTTGTCACTTAGGAAAGGCTATTCTTTTTTCCTTTCTTTTACTTCAGTTCTCCAGGTTGAACACTGCTATTAAGCTTTGTAAATAAATGTGCTCCATTAAAAACACATGATTTGATATTTTAAGTGATAGATAACTCAATGTTATTAACCCATTTCCCCCCAGCATTCTTTAAACTGAGACAATAGTAATTATAAGTAGATAAAAATATAGCTTTTCTTCTTAGCTTCTGACATTGCAAACAATTTCATTTTAGGATTAGCCATTCTTGTTTCTTTCAGAAAGTATAATTGGCTATGTGTGCTTTTCAATTAGTATGAATGAAACCGTAAATACATAACTTATTTGATTAAAGTCTATGCACATTTCTCTTTATTGCAAATGGGCTTTGATTTTATTGGACTAGGTACAAGTGAGTTCTATAGAAAAATAAACTGGCACATCCTTGATAGTTATTTGTGGAGAGAAGAGACATCTTGGGTGTAGCATTTCTGCAGTATTCCTGGCTTAAAATTTCTTCTTACTTCTTGCATGAGGAATCCATTTCCTTGCACTTTGCTGTTGTTATATATCTCTCCAGGATTAGAAATGCTGAACCCTCATAGCCCTCTTGTCCTCACATATAATTCTAGAATTTCATAGCCAGAAAAGAACATTCTAGTACCTTGCAAGTAGACACTTTATTTTTTATTTTTTTGAGACGGACTCTTGCTTTATTTTTATTTTTATTTTTTTCAGACAGACTCTTGCTCTGTCACTAAGCCTGGAGTGCAGTGGCACAATCACAGCTCACTGCAGCCTCCAACTCCTGGGCTCAAGCAGTTTTCCCACCTCAGCCTCCCTAGTAGCTGGGATTACAGGTGCTCATCACCGTGCCTGGTTAATTTTTAATTTTCTATAGAGAAGAAGTGTCACCATGCTGTCAAGGTTGGTCTTAAACTTGACTTTAAGCCATCTTCCTGCCTCTGCCTCTCAAAGTGGTAGGATTACAGGTGTGAGCCATCATGTCTGGCCTGACACTAACCTAGGTTCCCATCTGCAAGACATGCTGTGTATAATTTGTTATAATACTTATGTATACATTTCTGAATTCTAGCAAAAGGAAAAATATCTTTCTTTTGCTACTTCTGTCATGGAGTAAGGAACTCTGAAACCTTGGCTCAAGCTATAGCATACTTTTCTACCCAGTCTCACATTCTAGTAGGTAAGAGATATGAGATTAATGGGCTATATATTTTTCTCCAGACCGTAGAATTTAAAATAATTTCTTTGAAATTCAGTGGAGAAAAAAGTTAACTATTTTCTTTATTAATGAGTAGTATTTACCAAATGTTAGGGGGTTATGTTGTTAGTTTATTCTTGGCTGTTTTTCACTCAATTCATACAATTTTCAAAGAGTTGAATTTCTGAACTGGGGGGGATTTCAGATATAATATAAACAGCAGTTCATTTTACACATAACGAATTTGAGGCCCATAGACATGGTGTAAAATATTTAAGATCAAAGGACTATTTAGGCTATCTAAAAATACAGAACTTCCATAATAGGGTGTTAAAGAAAAATTTTATTTATTTATTTTTGTTTGTTTCTCTGCTCTAGCTCAAAATACCAACTGCTATATGCATCTTCTGCCTACATAGAATGAACTCAGGCCCTGGGTGGTGTTTCTATTGTGACATTGGCACAATAGTAGCTTAAACTCTTTTCAGAGAACAATCATTTTTGAAAACTTGAGTAGCTGATCGTAATCTTGCTAATTAGTTTAAGACATTTCTGAGAGGCTGGCTGTGGTGGCTCATGCTGTGATCCACTTTAGGAGGCGGAGGCGGGCGGATCACCTGAGGTCGAGAGTTTGAGACCAGCCTTACAAACATGGAGAAACGCTGTCTTTACTAAAAATACAAAAATTAGCTGGGCATGGTGGCACATGACAAATCCCAGCTACTTGGAGGCTGAGGCAGAAGAATCACTTGAACCCGGGAGGTGGAGTTTGCAGTGAGCCAAGATTGCACCATTGCACTACAGTCTGGGTAAAAAGAACGAAATTCTGTCTCAAAAAAAAAAAAAAAAAAAAAAAAAAAAACTTTAAAAAAAAAAAAAAAAAAAAAAAAACAAAAACAACTCTGAGAATGAAATGTTAAAGCAATCTTAGGATTTCTACTTTTCTAGAACTTTCTGAGAGAGCTCAGTACATTGGAGATAGGAGATCTCCTTGGAGTCCTCGGAGCTGACTTGAGGGTATCCTTGCATTCCTTAACTATGTGTATACGTATAGCTGACCTAAGGTTTCTTTTTCACATGTCCTGTCTTTTCAGTGAGTCTAAATCTTCAGTATATTATGTTGAACCATTTCACAATTGTTGCAAATGGTCAAATATTAGTAATATCAGGTAGTTTCGCCTATTTATATAATGGGAAATTTCTGGGGTTCTGAGTCAAATTGCTGAATCTTAAATACATCAACAATGCTTAAGAGCTTTTCCTTGGAATGTAGAAAATGATTATGAACCTCTTAGAGAGTGAATTCATGAGCTTCAAATCACTGATAAGAAACAAAGGAAAAAAATTAAAGAAAGTGAATTCAGAAAGAAAAAGGATAAAAAACCAAATAAATGAAGTTATGTAAAGTATTTGCTTAATTATTTATTGGAGAGATTCTTTTTTGATATGCAGAGGTTTAAGTTAGTGAAAGTCCTTTTCCATCACACAGTGCATTTTAAAAAGTCACCTTATATACATACAGCTAAACTTTTGTTTACCTAAGCAGGGGGAGTAGAAGAATATATTATGTATTTCACAGCAGTCAAATGACAGTAAGCCTGTGGTTGAGAAATTAAATATGGACCATTTCCTTCTCCCTCATGAAAATCACACAGACACTGTGTTTGGGCACTTACTCTTACTTTCACTTGATAACTATGCATACATTCATATATATATATTTCTTATATAATCAAGTAATTCCATTCAATTCAACAAAAATATGCAAAACATCTGTCATGTGCCAAGTACTGTAAGGTGCTAGGGCCATATGGTTCTGTCAGACTGAATTGTTTTTGATTTGACTTTCAGCCGCAAAACAATAAAGGCAAATAAGCAATGTGAGAAGGACTTATTTTCAATTGTTCAATTCAAAACATTTAACTTGGTAACATGATTACATATTTGTTTCAGTATTGCCATGTGCATGCATTTCTTTTATCTCTCTTACCTGAAGGATCTTATCACCAGGCTGCAGTAGGTTTGATGCTGGCCCATCAGGCTGAACCCTAGTAACAAAGATACCCTATAAGTCAGAAGTAACAGAGGTTAGGATTCTATTACCAAGAACCGGGCCTACTTAAAAAAATCTTCATTCATATAGAAAACAGTGAAAACAGATTCAGAAACAGTTTATGTATGTAGGCTTCAAAGATTATTATAGTTTTTTAAGCAAGGCAGCACTCTCCAAACCAAGTTTAAGAGAAGCGACATTTTTGCTTGTAAAAAGCAGCTTATCTTGTTTTGAAAGTGCAATTATGATTTATGAATTGATCTCATGGCATATTCTTAATGATTTTTTTCTTAAATCATTTGAAATGTGATACTGAACCATCGTTTGTATAAATTCTGAATTTGCCTTAAGTTTATTCTACTTAAACATGTCTCCATTAAAGGCAGTTGAAGGTATTGGAAAAAGCGTCTCCTATTTGATAGGTTCTAAGTTCAATATGCACTTTATAGAATTACATATACATTCTGGTTTATTTTAATGCATATTGTTTCATATGTTACTGAGAATTTTAATATAAAATGCATATGAACATATTAAACATAAGCAAACTGGAACATGCATTTTAAATAAAGTTTATGACTATATGGTCATAAAAATCCTTAAATTGATTAATGCAATTTATAAAAAAGTGAATTAATTTTGTTGACCATGTATATAAAGAAAACATATCAAATGTCTACTACATGCTGGGCCTGGGTGGCTCATGATATAGAAATATACAGAATATAGTTTGGGCTTTAATGAGCTCATAATCTAGTGGAAGAGAAGTCAAGAAAAGCAACAATTATAAAACATTGTGACAAGTGTTATGACAGAGGTATAACAGATTGTTAAAAAATGTACCCAGCTTATATTTGCGTGTTAGATCTTCCAAGAGGAGAAGACACCTGATAGCTGAATCATAAAGAACGGGCAAAAGGCATCCACAGAGGTAAGGGGAGGAAGGATGTTGCAGACACAGACGATAGCACATAAGTGAGTGTGCTTGTTATATTTGGGAAATTGAAGTGGTTCTGCTATGGCTGGAGTGCTGACGGAAGGGTGGCAGTGGACGGGGTTGGGAGTGTGGCACAGGATCAGGCCAAGAGTAGGTTAGAACAAGATTAAGCCGGCCTTTCATAAACCTTCTTATCAATTTCAGGTGCTACTAAAAGATTTTAAGCGTGATGGTGATAAGATTTTAATTGACATACAATGAACTGATGAATGGATAAAGAAAATGTGGTATATACCTATATAGTGAAATATTATTTGGCAATAAAATGGAGTAAAGTATGGAAACATGCTACAACATAGAAGAAAACATTATGAAAACATTATGCCCAGCGAAAGAAACAAGTTACAAAATGCCAAATATTATATAATTCCATTTATATGAAATGTCAAAATAGGCAAATGCATAGAAAGAGAAAGCAGATTAGCATTTGCCAGTAGCTGGGGAGTAACTGTTAACACGTACAGAGTTTCTTTTTGTACAAAATAAAATGTTCTGAAATTAGATTATCATAATGGTTGCACAACTCTGAATACATAAATCACATAAATGTACACCTTAAAAGGGTGAATTTTGTAGTATAGGAATTATATTTCAATATAGCTGTTAATAGTTTTTTATTCCTAAGAATTATTAAAATAGAAGACAATATTTTGATATTCTTGCCTATTATTTAGAAAAGCATGTTATTTGCTGATTTTTAAACATAGTAACTCACTTAAACTCATAACTCTGTGTGTGTGTGTGTATGTGTGTGTGTGTATGTGTAAATGTTTTAACAAACAGACCCAAACTAAAATACTTTTACTTGTGTTTTCACTTGACTTTTCAGAAGTTTATGAAACCTATTAATTTAAGTCTTTTGAATGATTTTTATCTTTCAGATTTTAATCTGTTTTCCTACTTATTTAAAGATGAAACTACAGATAGGCATCAAAATTTATAGAAAACTGTATAACTTTTAAGCAAGTTATTAGACTTCTAGGACTTAAGGATATAACTGGATAAATATGCAATATACATGTGCTAATATGTTCATCATAGTATTACTTGTAATAACAAAAATTACAAACCATACCTAACAGTCTAATAACAGGGCATTGATTAAAGACATTATAGTCAATCCCTACAATAGAATGATATGTGTTCATTAAAAGTGAAGTCCTAAATGGCTGATGTAGACGTACATAAATGTTTAGTGAAACAAGCAGATGATAAAACATTGTATGTGGTGGGATGCTATTTTTGCTGAGATGTGTGTGTATATATATATATGTGTGTGTGTATATATATATATTTGTGTGGGCAAATATCTGCAAGGCCTAAACATTAACAGTGGTAATACTAGGTAATGGGACATCAATTTTTTTCTTTTTGCTTATTTGTGTTTTTTTATTTTTCTACAATGATTATGCACTACTTATAGGATTAAGAAAATAAAACAAAATTTAAAAATTTGGGTTAGTGTTGGCACTCAGTAGTGATGCTTTAATAGCTTTGGCCAATTCAATTGTACAAATGGTCAATTCAAAAGAAAAAAGAAACTAGTTGTTTGAAAAAAGACAGTTAAGTAAGACTCAATTATTAATCCACGAGACCTGTGCACAGCACTAGTTGTGACAACAAATATAATCCACATAGTTCTTTCCACAGTGGGCAAAGAGCTCTCATATTGCATCATTTGAAGAGACTATATATACAATCAGTCCTCTTGGTAGCCCCTCCTTTGCTACTGGGTCTCTGTACAATAGGCAGAATGACTCTGTTGCCCAAAATAAGCCACTACATCTCTGATTGCTGGAAGTGAAGTTGTTTTGACTATTATTTTATCTCAGCAGTCAAAATGTCTGCTACCCAGTTAATTTAGATTGCCTTTCTTTAGCTCATTGTACAGGAACAGTTTTCAAAATGTTTGTATGAATCCAGATCATAGGAACTGAATTATGGCCATCGTATCTACAATGCCAGGAGGAACTAGCAACACTCTGCACCTGACTGCTGAAAGAATACAAACGTGGTGTCTGGCAGGTTTAATTTCACCTATCACATGGCTCTGGAGGATTCAACCTCTGTTCTGAAGACTTGCTTTGCTTTCTCTTATGGTGGCCTGAGTCTTCTAAAGTATGTATTACTTTTTTCCTAAAGCTTTATTATTTAATTTTATCATGTCTTTTCAATGAATAAACTTCATCAAGTAAGACCAATTGGTCCTGCCCATTGGTATAGTTTCCTCTTTTCCACATACATCCTATCAGCCAGCATACTGCCACATTAATACAAACAGAAAGCAATGACTGCTCCATTTGATCACGGTCTGCGGCATTCACTATTTGTGGAGGTGGAATGTTTCCCAAGCCTGTCTGTAAAGGTCAGTGCCCCAATTTTTCATTGTATTTAGGCAGATAAACATTGCTATATGAAAGAGGCCAGATAAATCTAAACCCATTTTGCCATTTTGTGATCTCTTCTATGATGAATATTGATGAGAAACGTGAAAATGTTGACCCTGTTTTGAAAAAGCTCATTGTAGCAACGTGTCACCCTTTTAACGACTCATTTTACCCTGAGATTTTAAAGAATACTTTGGCACTGATGACAGAATTTGCTGGGAAATCATCAGTCTGTTTGTATTCTAAAAATTAGAAATAATATCTTTCTACTGTTTGGTGAAAAGTTATCTCCTAACTTCAAACAACAAGAAACCGACTTGTGTGTATCAAAGATCCAAATAATGGCATCTTATAAATCTTTTAACTCTGCTAGCAAGATCATAAATGTGTTCAGTTTCCTGTAACATTTGGCAGAGTGCTAAATGAAGGACAAATTCTGATGTAATACATTTAAAACTAGCTACATAATGCATTCATGTAAGTCAAGATGAAAAATTATAATAGCCTATTATTGCATAGCACTCTTTATCATAAAACTGCTGTTATATAATAACCTATAAAACCAGGAGCTAAAAGTAGCAGCAACTTTAATTTCAAGTTTAATTTACATACCATGAAGCATTCTCTCTGCTTCTGTCAAGTCCCACAGGAAGGGGCTCAATAACTCTCTTTTTCAATGAGGCAGTATATATTAGTTTTCTACTGCTGCTACAAAATACTGTAAATCTAGTGGCTTAAAACATCACAAATTTACTATTTTACGGTTCTGCAGGTTAGAAGTCCAACACAGGGTTCACTGGGCTAAAACAAAAGTTTTGGTAGGGCTGCATTCTTTTCTAAAATCTTTAGGGGAGAATCCATTTCTCTGCCTTACGTAGCTTCTAGGAAATGTCTACATTCCTTGGCTCATGATCCCCTTCTTCCATCTTCAAGCTAGCAATGATGTACATCTCTGACCATTGTTTCTGCTGTCACATCTCCCTTTGACTGCAGTTAGGAAAGATTCTCCATTTTTTTTTCTTTTTTCTTTTTTTTTCTATTTTTCTTCAATGCTCTTAAGGGGGAGAAAGATTCTCCATTTTAAGGACCCATGTGATTACACTGGGCCCATCTGCATAATCCAGGGTAATCATCTCATCTCAAGGTCCTTAACTTCATCACATCTGCAAAGTCCTTTTTGCCATGTAATGTAACATATTCATAGTTCTGAGAGTTAGATTTTTTTTTTCTTGAGACAGGGTCTTATTCTGTTGCCCAGGCTGGAGTGCAGTGGCGTGATCATGGCTCAATGCAGCTTTTGCCTCCTGGGCTCAGGCCTCCCATCTCAGCCTCCTAAGTAGCTGTGACTACAGGCATGCGCCACCGTACCAGGCTAATTTTTGTATTTTTAGTAGAGACAGGGTTTCATCATGTTGCCCAGGCTGGTCTTGAACTTTTAAACTCAAGTGATTCACCCGCCTCAGCCTCTCAAAGTGCTGGAATTACAGGCATGAGCCATTGTATCCAGCCTAGGATGTTTTTGAGAAGCCATTTTTTCTGTCTACCACACTGTGCAAGCAGTGGTCAAGAGCATAGCTCTTGAGTTTACCTTTCTGTGTTCACCATTTACAATTGTTGACCTTGCACAA